ATATATATATATATATATATATATATATATATATATATATATACAAAACAGTTTGTCACAGCCCCTTATTTGTTGTCCTCTTATCTCTCTCTGCCTACGGTTTACCGGGCAGTTCTGTTTGTGACGATATATATATATATATATGACATAATATAGCGTAACAAACAAGACACCATGAGATGTGTGTGAAGAACGCCTTCCTCAATGAAATTCGGACCACCAGACCAATGTCAGGTCAACGATAAAGCCATTCAACCAGTCAAACGCTGAACAACTCTATATCGTCACCCTCATATTCAGAGCTCGATGTATGGACCCAATCATCGCATGCAGGCACCGCATCGTCCTCCACGTGACCGATGATGAAAACACAGTTCTCCCCCACCGCCTCATGGTCGGAACCTGAGGCAGCATCATCAACGACTTCCACTGGGTCGCCCCCACCGTTGACGAACAAATCAAGCGGCAATAACCCGGCTCCATAAGGACAAACCTCCTGCTGCAGAAGCTCTCGAGCCCAGTCTGAAACGTGAGCCGAATCGAACACTTACGCCGCCAATCTGTCTTCCCAACAGTCGATCGCCTCGTGACCGTAGTGCCGACGGAAGCCTGGTCTCGCACGTATGGAAGTGCCCGCAGCAATGCGAGCAACATACCCGACCGGGTTGTGCCAACAATGACTGTTTCACCGAATCACTGCGATCGACAAACGTGCAAAAAAAGACTTCTCGAAATGCATCGACTTCTTCGCATAGATAATGATGGTGCCCTGAAAAGTCTCCACCGCCGATGTGTGCCGAAACTCGACGTAGTACGACGTGATTTTAGTGTTGCATTGTTTATCGAGAACACGCAGAACGAGCTCGTAGACCGTGTCCGTGCGGCTATACAAAGGCAATCGTGCACGCCCACTGACCTTCTTGCACAAAACCTCCCTACCGTTGACACGTCCCGAATGATCACCAGCCTAATGATCGGCGACCAACATGATGTCGCGGTGTAGACTGTCGGCGTCTTCGACCTCCTCCCTGCACAGCTGGCAAGCGCAGAGGAACCACATCCCAACCTCATGCGCATGATACTCTGTCAAGCCGTTTGGATCAGTCGCCAACGCTCGAGCATTCAACCTCGATCCGTAGGGGTATATCTTTCGCATGACGACAGCGACGAAATCCGATTTCTTCATCCGTTCCTCAACAAGTGTGAGGCCGTCAAGTCCGAAACGCTGCTCCAATGCCTCCTTTAGCCGCTTCTTCGTGAACTGCATAAACTGCGCCTCTGACACACAGTCGTGCGGGCTGCTCACTTTCTTCGCTTCCTTCAGTTGCAGCATACTGTGGAAGTGCTTGCGAATGTTTTTTATTTTGTGGTGGCAATCTTTCTGCCACTCGATGTTCATAGCTCGTAACTTTGGTCCCAGCGTGGCACAATCATCCGAGATAACGCACCGGATCTTCAACGCCTTGTCCATCAGCCATCGCAAAAGTTGCACGACGGCTGGCACCTCAAGCGTATTCGATGCCTTGCATTCAATCTTCGGACGGAGAGTGTGAACACCCACAACAAGCCGAGTCTCGTACTTCATCGTGGTGACAATGCAATGCTGCGCGTCTCTGGCAGAGTCATATCGACCATCAACCATCAATGTCACTGGCTCACCACGGCGCATCACAGTGTCAATGGCAAGCTTGCAATATTTTATGCCCTGCCGTACGACCTTCGCATTCCACCCCTCCGCCCCCCTCGGTTCTGTGCGCATAAACTTGTAGAATGTGGGTTTGTGCACCGAGCACATCCCTAAACAAACACAAAAGTTGTCGAGGAGCATGAACGTAAGGCCGGCGGTGACCGTCGCATGAAAGAGCTGCTGCATCAGTCGCGACTGATAGACGTTCGTGATCACGAGTGCAGTGTGCCACGTCCATTTTCATTTCTTGTCGCATACGAACGTCAGCTTACAGAGCTGCGCAGGATAGGAGACGGACTCCACAGACACACGGCACGAGCCCTTGTGCCACGAGCAATATAGATGAAACATGGCCAGCAATTGAAGAAGCTTGACCAGCTCCAGAAATACAACATCCGGTGCCGTCGGTCCACTCCACAACGCCATCGCCTCCTCAACACTGGCACTGTCAATTTCAGGCCCAGGACCACACTGGTAAACACCGTCCCAACTATCCGACCACGTCTGCGGCCGGGCAGGTGTCGGTGTGCAGCGACCCCCGCTGCGGAGTCTGCCACGCCCTCTGTCACTGCGCTGAGATGCGCGACGAGATGACGGGAACGAGTTCTGCGATCCGTCATGAGACTCCCCCAACCCTCCGCTCGTTGAACCCTGCGAACCCCCCTGACCGTAGTCAACACCGGAATCGCCTTACATATAACGCAACGTGAAATCTCGACCGCACACCCGAGATGGCAACGAAGAAGAAATCACATCTGCTACCTCGTCACCAAACTCCGCACGGATGGCTTGCAAGGACCAGTGGAGCAGCCGATCAATAACGTCGCTGACTGGTCCGCGTTGGTCACCCACATTGGCCATAGCATCGCGGAGAGCGTACAATCGTCTCCGACATGCTTCCCACACACACACTCGCACGATGCTGTTGCCGCCCGAACACGGCGTGCTGCCGACTGCCGCACAACTATCCACATCGTCAAACGGAGGTGTGGAATCTGGAGCGACAAAGGGAGCCTGAGGCGGCACCGCAAGCGAACCCGTCGCCGCGCCGACGATACGTGGACGTGAAACGGTTGGATAACGCCATGCGTCGCTGCGATCTCCTGAAAGAGAACCGCCTCCAGCGGGACACGGCGGGGCCACCGCATGTGACCATACAGGTGCTAAAGGAATCGTGGCCGCATAGTCCAGCCGTCTGGGCAGCAGTGGGGATGTCAGCAACGGACCACCATACACACCTCCATACGCGGCCGCGTCTCGAACCCCGGCCACACCCGGCGGAGAAGCCCCCAACACACCATCGAAAGGCGAAATGGGTGTCACGCCCAGGGCAATGACGCTGTCAGTCGCATGCGAAACGGTACCGAGGCGCCTTTTCCCCAACCGGACCTCCAGACCACCGATGTGCGGTGAAACGCCCAACAACCCCCGCGCTGCACATGGAGATCGATCCACGCTTTGGCGAGGATCGGGCGTCCCCTGCGGAGATCCCGCAATGGGCGATGATCGAGCGGGGACTGCGTCTCTGCTTGTCGGTGACATTGTCAATGTCAGGGTCTGCACAGCACCGAGAGTCAGACAAGCACGAAGTAAGGAGTAGTATATATATATATATATATTCAGTCAACGAAAATGTGCATGTGTGTGTGTGTGTGTGTGTGTGTGTGTGTGTGTGTGTG